TTATAATCCCTTGATGTATCCTTAATTCAAAATAATTAATGTGCATTTTATTTAATGTCTCCCCATTAAATATTTAAATTTATTCATATACAAATTTTAATTTTTTTTTTTTGACAAAAAAGAGTTTATTAATTTTATTTAACATTCTTCAATTTGAAAGACTCAATTAATGTACCTAAATGTATGTACCGAAATGTATTATGTTGAACTAATGTATTTAACTGTTAGTACCAAAATGTATGTATCGAAATATATGTATTGAAATGTATTGTATTAAATTAATGTACCTAAATGTGTGTACCGAAATGTATTATATTGAATTAATGTACCTAAATATTTGTATCAAAATGTATATACCGAAATATGTGTACTTAAATGTATGTATCGAAATGTATTATAATGAATTTAATGTACCTAAATGAAGAAGACAAAGTACATCGAAATATATTGTATAACAAAAATTAGTTTATTTAAATGTTTACAAGTTACAACAAAATATATTATGGTAAATGAAATGAAAATGAAAATGAAATAAAATTAATACATTAAAAATTAGGAAGAAAAGAGAAATAATTAAAAAATCAAAATATAATTAATAAATGAGGTTATTAATGTATCAAGAGACTAAAATTAAATTTTGATCTTACTCATGATTTTAATCTAAAAATCATCTTTATCAAGAATTAAAATAACGTTATATATATATATATATATATTGGATCCAGATATTATGTAATAATGAACTTGTTTTATATAAGTTGCCATCGGCAGTCAAGTCAAGAAACTGCAGCATGAAGTTAGAAGTGGGTGGGGAGTTGAACCAGGGACCATGCAATTCAATTCATTTTTGTCTCTATTGACCTTCAAATATAAGTGTGGTAATTGAGTCGAGTATGTCATTTCAGTTTGAACATGAAGACCGTAGAGGTATGACGGTAATTCTAAAGAGATCTAGAACTAATGGCGGGAGAGAAGCGTGATAAATTTTATGCGCCTATGCAAGTTTGCCACCAATGTTACTCATATTGTCTCAACACCTATTACTTGATATTAGTTTTATCATAAAAAATCTCGATAGTTAAGCTGGAATAATATTAATAATATTGATTAAGGAACCTACATGCGTTTATAAAGTTTATCAAAAAGAGCACAAATTTGATCTCTTTCATTGACGATTTGTTTGTCTATATTTCATTTTCAATATCGTTGTATAAAAAAAACTACGAGATTAGATATTGCGATCCATTTTCAAACCATGCGGACCTAACCCACCATGAGATGATATTGCTGATGCATGCACGTTGATCTTATATAACAGTGCTAAAGTACTGGTATTTTATATGACTTATCCACCAAGCCTAGCTAGCAAAAGCATACAACAGCTTCTGAGATCATTAATTTGTTTGCTTATTGATTTGCCATATCTTCTGTTTCTGCTGCATACTAACTACGCATGGGACGAAATTATCTTCAAGATTCCTCAGCGGCTGACCATCTCCATCAATCCGTCTTTAGCTGGCTTTGAAGTTTGAACTTGAATATGCAAATCTGTCTATTAATAAACAAAAAGACTAACGAAGAACGCTTAACTGGTAAGTAAAGTAATATTCATATATTTATTCGACTCTAGTTTTCTTGGTGACTAAAGATTATATTATTAATAGTGATTAACATTAGAGGTCCACCCCGTTGAATTAGGATCCTCTCCTAAGTAAATGGTGAGGATCCTCTTGATCATACCCATCGGGCCGTTTAAATTTTATCCAACGGCTACAATTATTATAATTTTTAGAGGGGTCCCCTGTTTGTAGCCATTGGATAAAATTCGAACGGGTCCGATGGGCCTGATCAGGAGGATCCTCACCATTTGCTTAGGAGAGGATCATGATCCCACCCCGTTGAACATGTATTACTAATTACTAGGTAATCAGAATAATATTTTTATACAGTAATGCTATTCTTATCATATTTTTGTATCACAATTGTATACCACCTTAGGTGAATCTGATGTGGACAGCCACATCATCTAAATTAATTAGCATTTAATTTCAAAATGTTAATCACTAATTAATAAAAAGATTGTTAATTAAATGATGATTGTGGACATGCGAGGAGTTTGATTCTTCTACTTAAGATTTTTTAAGTGTTTTAATTAATAAAAAGATTGAAATTAAATGATGTAACTTGTCTAACTCATCTACCATCTAAGATAGTAAAGAAATGTGGTATAAAATTGTGGTAAGAATAACATTACTCTTTTTTATATTGAGAAATGTTATGGAGACTCTCAAAGTGAGACTCTCTATAAATTCTCTGACACCTCATGGTTTAACATCAGTTTTCGTGCCAACGTTATAAAACATCAAACATGAAGTGTAAGAGGATTTATTAAGAGTTTCACTTTTAAGAGAGTTACTTTAACATTTCTCTTTGATAGTTTCTCATTAAAACAATAAAAATATTGTACGAGTTATATTATTTAATCCCAAATCAAATATTAAACAGAAAATTATGGTGCCGAAGACAAAACTCGACCCGTTAAGATAAGCTAAACTAATTCTTGATCACAGGTAGTGGAAAACAGGTGCGCATATATATATAGGGCTGTGATATTCATACACATTTTTTTACTTCTCACACACTCTTCTAATTTTAAGCCATCGGATCAAATGAATTGAAGAAGATCAACCGACATATATTAACAAATGATGTGTAAGAAGTAAAAAAACATGTGTGAATAGCACACCCCTATATATATTTTGACATTATAGGGTTATTCCTGGTAGTTTACTACTTGGAAAAAGTCACAGTTCATATTTAATGTACATTGTTTGTTTTGATTGACAGATGATGATGGAAGTTTAATTTTATGGTTATGATATTGAATTTTTTGGTTGAATGAAAATTAATAGCGGTGCCTTTTAGTGGAAATACGTCTCTTTAAATATGAAATTTAATACAGAGTTGTAACTTTTAATTTTTTATGAAGAAAAATGCTAAGAAGATTTTCAAAAGTGGGACTTTTCAGGGCTCTTTGTCGGCTCATGTTTCGGCACAATATATTGTAATGTTGGTATGAAAATTAATGCTAAACTGTAAGGTAATAGAGAATCATACTTTGAAAGAGTCACATGCTTTCAAAAGGAAGCATCTCTACTATAAATAGGCAAGTCCCATTGTAGTCAGGAATCACTTTTAATCATACATATAGTACACTAGATATTAGAGAGTGTTATTGAGTGTATATGTGAGAGTTTTAATATAATCGTGGTTCACTGAAACCTTGTGATTTAGAGTATCATATTACAAAGACGTGGTCACTGTATCTTAAGAAACAAGTGTCGATTAACTCTGATCACTGTATTGGAACATAAATTTATCTTCAGGGCAAAATGTCTATTATTTGCCCCTATTTTCAGTGTTTTCTAAACCTCAAGACCAAAGAGTACATACATCATATTGTTTGTTTTTGATTGAGAATACCAATAAGATTGGCTCAACTTTCGACATATTGCATATGCCAAGCAAAATCTAGGAGATTTACAAAAACAAATAATACTGGATAGTCTAATTGTTTAGACTAAATTTACAAATCATATGAGATTTAGATCAGCAAGGTTTTCACTAGAGCATTGGATATAGAAAAACTATTGTGCATGCACTACCATTACGTGACTGATGATGTGGTGTTACTAGTCAGCCACACATGATGACATCTGCTGGCTTCACGTGCGTATTTTCAAAATGGATAAGACTAGAAACTTCCAAATCAACATTTTCAAGTTTCTGGAGGAGGCATGCCATTTCTTCGCAAATGAAGTCAAATCAGACATTTAGAATCACCTTCAATATACAACTTTCGAGAAACCTTTGGCACCGACTAAATTTTGGATCTACAAATATATTTGGGAGTATTTTTCTCATCACCATAAATTAGTATATATTTATTATATATTTAATTATCTGTAACGTGTTATTTCACTTAATTTTAATTACGTTTTACAAAACAAAATTAAAAAATTAATATTTAATTAAAAACCTCCAATCGAATGTTGGCAATCAAAGTTTCGCTTCTTGAAACATTCTAGAGTGACAAGGGCATTGTAGGCTACAACAACTCTCATTTGCTGCCAGTATAGTTTTGGCTCTCATGAAAATGTACGTGAAAGAAAAGTCGGTGAGTTTAGAAAAAATGCATCCATGAGATTTCAAATTCGAGTTAGGATTTGAAACGAGACCAACCCTTTGAAGTTTAATTTTTTAAGTAATACTAGAAAAATTAAATTTTAAATTATATCGGTAAGGTCATAGTAGCAAAAACCATTGGAATTTTAATTTTATACATTGGAAAAACAAGTTTTGTTATTAATAGACTAGGATACGGGAAGGGAATTTATAATATTTTATAAATTATATATTTTATTTTATATATAATAAAATAAATAAATAAAATTTCATTTTATTTTTTTAACTTATATAGTTATTATTATAGTTATAGAATAATAATACAATAATACATATTTAATATAATCTGATATGGATGTTCAATAATTTATTAATTAAATATTTATTAACGTACTTATTTATTATTAATGACACATTACTTTTTTTTTTTTTTTTTTTCCAAAAAGTTGCCACTGATTAAAGACACTGTGTGTGTATTTGGTACAATGACATATTTTATACTAAAAGGAGGGAGAGTTCGGTTAAGTTACACAATGAGCAACCTAATTTAACATCAAATTCGCAATCCACACCTCTTTTTTTTTATATTTAGCAAACAATATTATCACACTAAAGGGGTGAGAGAGTTGACTAAGTCTCACAATCAGCTGGAATAATATGTTTCAAATTCGTATTTATTAAGAATCGAACTTAAGATCTTACAAATAACGTGAATATCATTAAACCGTAGTACTAAATAGATTAAAAATAATTCGCCGCTGAAGAAAACAACAAAAGAAAAGGTGCAGTAGGTTAAAATCCATTGGTCAACAGAAGACTTCCACAGCTTTACCAATTGGATGAGCTGCGTAATCTCTCTGCAAGAAATGCCATGAAACCACGCCGTGTGACGTCTCTCGCTTCTTGACTTCCACATCCTTCGCTCGCCTACTCTCCCCACTTTCATCTTCGTCTCTCCTACGCCACACGGTTCTCTGGCCAGACCTCAACCCAGTAATGGCTTAGGGTTTCTCTATTCTCTCCCAGGTAAGCAGATTCTTCACCTCAAATCCCAAAGTTTCAGTCTTTCAGTCTTAATTTCCTCAACTTTCACTAAATTCGAACTGGGTTTTCATCAATTTTCTCAAAATTTTGATTGACATGGATCCAAGTTCGTATCAATTGCCCAATTCCAATTCCAATTTCATCGACCATACACTTTCCCCCAATTTCAATGAGTACCCAAGTAGCGACCCCTTTGTAGATCTTAGCTTTGTGGACCAAAACCCTAGCAACTCTACTCTGTCGCCGAGCCTGAGCCCCGAGGGAGATGACAGTGACTACTCTGACAGTGTGCTCAAGTACATAAACCAGGTGTTACTGGAGGAGGATATGGAGACAAAGCCCTGTATGTTTCATGACCCTTTGGCTGTCCAAGCCGCTGAGAAGACTCTGTATGAGGTTCTTGGTGGGAAGTTTCCGGCTTCTCCGGATCAACACCCGGTTAATGTAGAGAGCCCGGATGGTTGTTCTTCTGCAACTTTCAGTGATTATAGTGGCAAGACTAGTTCTAGTTCTAGTTCTAACCCTACCACTAGCCATTCGGTCGATTCATGGTGTAGTAGTGTTGATGTTATTGAACATAAGCCCTCTATTTTGCAAAACCCAATTCCTGAAAACTTTGTTTTCCAGTCCAATTCAATGCCCAAGTCTCAGTTTTCGTCGAAAGGGGACGGCTTGGTGGGTTCTTATGTGAGTGAGCGTATGCTTTCTAATTTGTTCAGTGAGAGTGAAATGGTGTTGCAGTTTAACAGAGGGGTAGAGGAGGCTAGTAAGTTTCTCCCCAAAGGCCAATTGATTGTTGATTTGGAGAATAACAAGCCTTACACAATGGCTGATAGAAAGGCTGAAACTGTGGTGGTTAAGATGGAGAAGGATGAAAGCGAGTATTTTTCTTCTAGTTTGAGAGGAAAGAAGAGTCATGAGAGGGAGGATACAGATTTGGAGGATGGGAGGAGTACCAAGCAATCAGCGGTTTATGAGGATATGGCTGATCTGTCGGAGATTTTTGATAAGGTGCTAATCTGCAGTGAGGGAAAACCCGACGCTATTGGGTGTAAAGGTGAACAAGTCTGTCAGGATGAAGCAAACAAGGCTCTGCAGCAGAATGAGCAATCTGTTGGAACTAGTAACGGAAGGACTCGTGCCAAGAAAAATGGCGATAAGAAAGAAGTGGTTGATTTGAGAGCTCTCCTGATTTTATGTGCACAAGCTGTTTCTGCTGATGATCGTAGGACTGCTAGTGAGCTACTAAAGCAGATTAGGCAGCACTCTTCCCCATTTGGCGATGGTTCTCAGAGGTTGGCTCATTGCTTTGCCAATGGCCTTGAAGCACGGTTGGCTGGCACTGGAACTCAATTATATACTGCTCTATCTTCTAAAAGAACGTCAGCTGCTGATATGCTGAAGGCTTATCAGACTTATATTAAAGCCTGCCCATTCATGAAGGCCGTGATAGTCTTTGCAAACCGCACAATTTCAAAATTAGCTGAGAAAGCAGAAACACTGCATGTTATAGATTTTGGAATCCTTTATGGTTTTCAATGGCCTGCTCTCATCCATTGCCTCTCAAGAAGAGCTGGGGGGCCTCCAAAACTACGCATTACGGGAATAGAGCTTCCCCAAAGTGGTTTTCGACCTGAAGAAAGAGTCCAAGAGACGGGTCATCGTTTGGCAAAGTATTGTGAGCGGTATAATGTTCCTTTCGAGTACAATGGCATAGCAAAGAAATGGGAAACTATCCAGTACGAGGAACTCAAAGTCAAGAGAGATGAAGTGCTTGCAGTGAATAGTCTGTTCCGGTTTTCTAACCTACTTGACGAGACAGTTGCGGTAAACAGCCCGAGGGATGCTGTTCTAAATTTAATCAGGGGCATGAATCCTGATATTTTTATCCTCAGTATTGTTAATGGATCTTACAATGCCCCCTTCTTCGTCACTCGCTTCAGGGAGGCTCTATTCCACTTCTCTGCATTTTTTGATATGTGTGATACCAATTTACCTCGTGAGGATCCAACGAGATTGATGTTTGAGGAAGAGTTCCTTGGGCGAGAGATTGTGAACACAGTAGCTTGTGAGGGCTCTGAGAGAGTTGTGAGGCCTGAGACATATAAGCAGTGGCAGGTTCGGAACACGAGGGCTGGGTTCAAACAGCTGCCATTGGACCGTGAACTCATGAACAAATTAAGGTCTAAGGTGAAACTGGGGTACCACCGTGATTTCGTGGTTGATGAAGATGGAAACTGGATGCTGCAAGGATGGAAGGGCAGGATTATCTATAGTTCCTCCTGTTGGGTTCCGTCTAGGTCCTGAAATGCATGCTTGTTAGAACTGAATTGACTTGCATAAATAGGCAGGTAACCATTGAAATTAACTTCTGTAGTTCTACATATATATGGTAGTGCTGTATTTTGCAATCACCAACCTGTCTTGGTGACTTTGTACTGGTTGCTTATCAGTATTCTAGTCTGCTTTGTTCGAACTTTCCCGGACTCTGAATCCTTCCCTTGTATATATATCATGCTAGCACTGCTTAAGTTTGTACTAGAAAGTTGATTTACGGTGAACTATTGTAATATTGAACATTGTAGTTTTCTTTTTGTATGTCTAAGTTGAATCTAATTGCCAAATGAAAGCAACTTTTACTTTTTTGAAATGCCGGGGAAGGATTGGTTACCGCTTTCACATTCATCCAAACTTTTGATCGCCGAGCTCAAACCAAGCGCGATTTAATCGAACTTATGGCTGACACCGTAGAGAGAGTGAAGCCCGTATGCGAAGTGGCAAAGGTTAGAGTAGTAGGTACCATTTCAGCTTCATCAACTTGAAAAGTAACACCTAGCGAGAGAGGGAAAAAGGAACGATGGAAGGACAAAAAGGAGTCCTGCTATACAACAGTGCCATGCATTTGTTAAAATTGGTTTTGTTAAGATTTTCTTGAATTCTTAAGCGCACATTTAACTGTTAAATTCAGTAATTTATACCACTCATTGATGTACTTAAAAATTTTCGAACTGAAAAGATGAGGGATGCAAAATTGGTCGTGTTTCAGACGCATAGATAATTTATGAGGAACGCAACCCCTTGTAGTTTCCAAGGAAGCCGACTGATACATGAACAATAGAGCAGAAAATATGCTTGTTTTGGATTGCAACGTGCATGAGAGTAAAGCTAAAATGATGAGATCAATCTCACTAGGTCACCTTATCATAATATCCTAAAGAGTTATGCCAGCTCGCATGCGTGACTATGGCCGTTCATGCGCCACAAAATTCAGGTGTATAAGTTTGTTTGATGACCATTTCGTTTTTTATCTTTGATATTTTTCTTTACCTTGAAGACTGGCAAACTAAAAACTTGTGCGGGCTATCAAAGGGGGCGCGTAATTAAACAAATAGATGCAACACAACAGGCCTGGCAAACGGTCGTGTCTATCGTGTTCGGGTCGTTTTCGGTGTAACACCTGTTATCTTAACGGGTCGTGTCGTGTCACACCCGTTATCTTAACTGGTCCTTACAGGTCGTGTCACTTTACCCAACGGGTAAAGTGACCCGACCTGTTAAGGACCCGTTTGACCGCGTTAAGAACAAAATATATGTTTTTTAAATTTGCACAATACCACACATTGCCACATAAATATTACTTCAAAACATTAAAACATTTCTCGTTCAAGTACTATATCTACACTCGAAATAAAAGCCTAATAAAAAAAAAAATACATACACTACTAATATATTACAAATATTCAATGTGCAAAGAGTTTTTGTTTTTAAGATTGTAAGTCTTTCTCAAAAGTTTACACCTCCATTTACAAAATCTTCAATTTACATCGATTATCATGAAATTGTATTCAATTTACACCTACATCTATATAATTATTATAGTTTTTACTTTGTAGGGATATAAAATTATTAAATTAATGTATATAATTATTAATATTATAGTTGATTCATACTTTTATTAAGTATATAAATTATAACATAAGATTTTGTGATATCGACATCCACTAGTGTAAATATTTTAAATTGAAGATCAAATTCATTCTTTGTATTCATATAGGGTCAAGGAGTGTAGTTGTAAAAATTCATCAAAATCAGAGTTAAAATAACCGTTAAATCTTGATTTTTCGTTTATAACCGTCGAAAAGCTTTGTCCCGTTACTTGATCTCTGAATGTTTTTTTTTTTGTGATTTTTTGCTGATGTGATCTCCAAGCATATACAAACAATTTTGACGGTTTGAATCGTTGAAATTAGTTTTCGAGAATTCGTAAAGCGATAGATTGACTAACACTTAGAGTTTATTTATACTTTCATTAAGTATAACATAAGATTTGTGGTATCCACTTGTGTAAATATTTTAAATTGAAGATCGAATTCATTCATTGTATTCATATAGGGTCAAGGAGTGTAGTTATAAAAAATCATCAAAATCGGAGTTAAAATAACCGTTAAATCGTGATTTTTCGTTTATAACCGTTGAAAAGCTTTGTCCCGTTACTTGATCTCTGAATGTTTTTTTTTTTTTTTGTGATTTTTTGCTGATGTGATCTCCAAGCATATACAAACAATTTTGACGGTTTGGATCGTTGAAATTAGTTTTGGAGAATTCGTAAAACGATAGATTGACTAACACTTAGAGTTTATTTATACTTTTATTAAGTATAACATAAGATTTTGTGATATCCACTTGTGTAAATATTTTAAATTGAAGATCGAATTCATTCATTGTATTCATATAGGGTCAAGGAGTGTAGTTATAAAAAATCATCAAAATCGGAGTTAAAATAACCGTTAAATCGTGATTTTTCGTTTATAACCGTTGAAAAGCTTTGTCCCGTTACTTGATCTCTGAATGTTTTTTTTTTGTGATTTTTTGCTGATGTGATCTCCAAGCATATACAAACAATTTTGACGGTTTGGATCGTTGAAATTAGTTTTGGAGAATTCGTAAAACGATAGATTGACTAACACTTAGAGTTTATTTATACTTTCATTAAGTATAACATAAGATTTTGTGGTATCCACTTGTGTAAATATTTTAAATTGAAGATCGAATTCATTCATTGTATTCATATAGGGTCAAGGAGTGTAGTTATAAAAAATCATCAAAATCAGAGTTAAAATAACCGTTAAATCGTGATTTTTCGTTTATAACCGTTGAAAAGCTTTGTCCCGTTACTTGATCTCTGAATGTTTTTTTTTTTGTGATTTTTTGCTGATGTGATCTCCAAGCATATACAAACAATTTTGACGGTTTGGATCGTTGAAATTAGTTTTCGAGAATTCGTAAAACGATAGATTGACTAATACTTAGAGTTTATTTATTCTTTTATTAAGTATAACATAAGATTTTGTGGTATCCACTTGTGTAAATATTTTAAATTGAAGATCGAATTCATTCATTGTATTCATATAGGGTCAAGGAGTGTAGTTATAAAAAATCATCAAAATCGGAGTTAAAATAACCGTTAAATCGTGATTTTTCGTTTATAACCGTTGAAAAGCTTTGTCCCGTTACTTGATCTCTGAATGTTTTTTTTTGTGATTTTTTGCTGATGTGATCTCCAAGCATATACAAACAATTTTGACGGTTTGGATCGTTGAAATTAGTTTTGGAGAATTCGTAAAACGATAGATTGACTAACACTTAGAGTTTATTTATACTTTCATTAAGTATAACATAAGATTTTGTGGTATCCACTTGTGTAAATATTTTAAATTGAAGATCGAATTCATTCATTGTATTCATATAGGGTCAAGGAGTGTAGTTATAAAAAATCATCAAAATCGGAGTTAAAATAACCGTTAAATCGTGATTTTTCGTTTATAACCGTTGAAAAGCTTTGTCCCGTTACTTGATCTCTGAATGTTTTTTTTTTTGTGATTTTTTGCTGATGTGATCTCCAAGCATATACAAACAATTTTGACGGTTTGGATCGTTGAAATTAGTTTTCGAGAATTCGTAAAACGATAGATTGACTAATACTTAGAGTTTATTTATTCTTTTATTAAGTATAACATAAGATTTTGTGGTATCCACTTGTGTAAATATTTTAAATTGAAGATCGAATTCATTCATTGTATTCATATAGGGTCAAGGAGTGTAGTTATAAAAAATCATCAAAATCGGAGTTAAAATAACCGTTAAATCGTGATTTTTCGTTTATAACCGTTGAAAAGCTTTGTCCCGTTACTTGATCTCTGAATGTTTTTTTTTGTGATTTTTTGCTGATGTGATCTCCAAGCATATACAAACAATTTTGACGGTTTGGATCGTTGAAATTAGTTTTGGAGAATTCGTAAAACGATAGATTGACTAACACTTAGAGTTTATTTATACTTTCATTAAGTATAACATAAGATTTTGTGGTATCCACTTGTGTAAATATTTTAAATTGAAGATCGAATTCATTCATTGTATTCATGTAGGGTCAAGGAGTGTAGTTATAAAAAATCATCAAAATCGGAGTTAAAATAACCGTTAAATCGTGATTTTTCGTTTATAACCGTTGAAAAGCTTTGTCCCGTTACTTGATCTCTGAATGTTTTTTTTTTGTGATTTTTTGCTAATGTGATCTCCAAGCATATACAAACAATTTTGACGGTTTGGATCGTTGAAATTAGTTTTGGAGAATTCGTATGCCATCAATCAAGTTCCGTGTGTGTGTGTGTGTGTGTATATATATTTATTAAGTAGATTTAAATCTATTTATTTTGTACGTATAAATTATAATTGACTGGTACACGGAATAGTACATACATCATGTGTCACGTGTGTCATTATAAAAATAGTGAGATATGTCATGACAGTCATGTGTGTGATAAAAAGTTAATAACTTAAAAAAAAAAAAAAAAATTTCTCACCACTTCTATTAATTTTCATTTTTCCCTCTCTTTTTTGTTTCCTTTTCAACTTTTTCTTATCATTTTCACTTTTCCCTCCAACATCTTTCCCTAATTCCCTCACTTTTTTGTTTCATTTTCAACTTTTCTTAACATTTTCATTTTCCCTCCATTTTTCTTTTCAAAAAGGGCGGCAAGTTGGCAACGGCAAGAAATTGATTATTGAAATTTGAATGGAAAGAAATCATATCAAATTTCAATGGATGCAAAATCATGCAATGCATCATGCATATTAAATTATTAATTAATAATTATTATAGTTTTTATAAAATTTAATATATATATATATATAATTATTATAGATAGACTTAATATTTTGGGGGTATAATTATTATAGTATATATAATTATTATAATTATTATAAATTTTATAGTTAATTTAATATATATATATATATATATATATATATTTATTATAATTTTTAGGGGTATAAAATTGTAAAATTAATGTATATAATTATTATAGTATTTTTTTAGGGTTATAAAATTATAAAAATAATATTCTGCTTATCGTGTATCGTGTTACCCACGTGTATACCCGAACTAACCCGTTATCTTAACAGGTGCTTATCGGGTTACCCGATAACGACCCGATTCGTTATCGTGTCGACCCAAACACCTGTTAATTTCGTGTCGTGTCGTGTCGGGTTATCGGGTCGTGTCAGAAATTGCCAGGCCTAAACACAACAACGCAGCTGATGACACACTGAATAGTGAATACAACAGAAACAGCTAGCAATACAAAACGA